GATGTGCTCCACTCTCTCCTCCTCTCCCTTCATCCGCTCCCATGTACTCCGGTCAGATATGTCCCTCTCCCAGAGATACAGATTCAATGCCATCCTTTGAAATAAATTCTTCCGGGGGAAGGGGCAGGTGTCCACATAGTAGTTGGGATTGGGGCAGGCACCTCAGACCTCTCCACTGGTTCCCTACTGCACGCCAAATGCCAGTTTTTTAAGAGCCATTTTCCATGAAATTTTAAAACACCCCTCATATATTCTTGTATGCCACTGACATGTACAAGAAAACACATATGTGCAACAAAACTAAACAATGCACCATGCTCACAAACATCACTCCTATGTTACGTATAATTTACTACAATGGTTAAGGGGATAATGTAATCAAATATAAATGTCATCATCTTAATGAGGAGGCCTGCTGTGATCAGCAAATGGCATGATGGTTAAATGTTTGGTTGCTAACTTCAAGGTTGGATTCAAACCCATGAGCCACTCTGCAGGAGAAAATGAGGCTACTCATGTAAAGATTTATGGTCCCGGAATCCCTAAAGAACAGATCTCCTCTGTCTTATACTGCTGCTGTGAGTCAGGATCTGCTTGATAGCAATGGGTTTGGTTTGTACTGGTTTGGCTTCTTTGGGGATGTGGCCAGTTTCCATACCCATAAGAACTCTCTGGCAAAGGTCTGCTTGTTGCTAGAGCTGGTCATCGTCTGAGCTCCGGTTCTTTGCATTTGAGTCAGTGGCCTATAGTATTGCCTGTGGATCTTGGGAGTCATTCGCCTCTGCAGCCTGTGAGTTATCAGCCTGCCACCCTACCTACTGACCCTGGGTGCATTCACCCCTGCAGCCAACCTGCCACCTGACCTGTCACTCTTGGGTTCATCGGCCCCCCGAAGCTATGTGAAGCAGGAGAAGCCTCCAGCCTGACATCTTGCCAACAGACTCAGAACTTGCCAACCTCTAAAAGTGCATGAGCCATTTCTTTGAGATTAATCTGTGTGTACACACATAAACACACACACACTTTTATCCACGTAAATATATCTCCACACAAACATATATACACATTCAAAAGGTTAATGAAAAATGGCACTAAAAGAGAAGGAATCTTTTTTTAACAACCTTTTTGAAGCCCTTGTCTATAAGCACAGAGTCCCAGTGACACAGTGAGTGATGTGGGACTACTAACTGTAAGGTCAGTTAGCAATTTGAACCCACCAGGCACTTCACAGGAGAAAGATGTATTTACAGCCTCAGAGGCCTCCGGGGACAGTTCTACTCTTCCCTATAAGGTTGCATGGGTCAGAATCAACTTGATGGTAGTGGTTTGGGGTTATATATCAGCTTCACTGGTTTTTCTTTTCTGGAGAGCCCAGTCTAAGACATGTATCAGTATTATTTTTAATGAGAGCATCACCTTTAAGTAGATTGGCTTATCCAAATGTTAAGTATTAAGAAAAATTTTAATTGCATCTTTCATCATTTTTTCTATTTTATTAAAAGCCATTCATTATGTAAAGACATGAAATTAGCAGTTTAAAATCAGAGTAATTAAAGCAAATAACTTACCAATTGCCCCAGTTATGAAATCCTGCAGCCTGGAGTACATGTACAGCAAACTGACAAATATAGACGAAGAAGAACACAAAGAATCTGAATGAACTGTCACTCCTTTTTAAATAAAAAAATATGTGGGAAGAGAAAGAGGAGAAAAAGAATATTTTTCTCAATACCTTCACAGACTGATAATCAACCCTTAAAAAACATGACAACTACCTGACACTTAAAAATTAAAATAACAACATGATAATAAGATATGTGAATTCTTTAAATATTAGATGAGGATGTTGTCATTATTCTAATCTTGTCCTTTCAACTTCCACCTAGACCACAACCCATCTTTTGTTAAAAAAGTTTTTACTCCCCCTCCATCCTTTTTTCAAAGCTTTTAAAATAGCTTTAATTAACATTTACCACAATAAACTATACACAAACAGTTGAAAAGTTTTATGTGTGTGTGTGTGTGTGTGTGTATATACACCTTCCCAAATAACAATACTGAACATACCTCCCATTCCCCAAAGTTTCCTTGCACCCTTAATCATGCCGTCCCTACAACCCAACCTCAGATTAGTCCACCTTCATCCACAAGCTCCACTCAGACCTGTTTGCCTTATTTGTTTAACCAGCTTTTCTGTTTGTTGGCATGGGGAAGGTACAACTCCTTCCACTGGACATTTACCATGCTAATTGTGAATGGTTATGTTGAAACACTTTAAGAGTCCTCCAGATAGGCCCTCCAGATATTCCAGCACTTACTTAACTAGTTCGGCACTTATCTCTAAAGCAGCACAAATCTCC